CAATTGTTCTGAGTGTTTCGATTTCCATTGCTTTGGCTGCGGGAATCTTTGGAGCTTGCACATTGTGGAGAGACCGACCCACACACCAAAAGCAGGTTTCGGCCGATGAACGGGACTCACCCCCGATGCCAACCACCAAATTCTCCTGGGGGAGGATGACTGCTCAATGGCCACGTGGCAAGGTTCTGCGTTTGACAATTGAAGATGGCTTTTTTGAAGCTTATGGAGAGGACTATCAGATACACCACTGTGGAGAAGGTTATCATTTTTTTTTGGCTAGACGGTACGAAGCAGATCTCGAGCGTCGTTGACAGAAACACCATCTTGTGGCGAACGCAGCATGCAAATCGGGCTTGGAGGCGGTTCTTGTGGGTTTGCACTCAGGGCTGACTGGTAAGTTTGTGTGCAGTTTTCTGAGAGTTAGTTTTGGCAGGACAGTGCTTTAACTGTGGGGAACTCATGGGAACTCAACAGTAAGGCACTCCGCAATGCACCGAGAGCCCCGTGCAGCACGACATGCAGTTCCTGGAGAGTTGCCACCTTGGACTTGCATGGCACAGCGTTGGCTTTTTGGGTATGGCCCGGCTTTAAGTTTGGGGCACTACCTCAGAGAGCCAGCATGTGGGAGGAATGAGGGTGTTTGACACAATGCTAGTTGAACCATAGGTAAACCATTCTCCACGAACTGAGGCTACAGATGCCACTCCTGCAATGCAGAAGGCCGCTCAGCCCACTGGCAATGCACCCAGCATGAGGTTCACCTCTGCAGGGATTGTGCTGTACCGCACCTGGAAGCTTCCACCCTTGGTGTGGCTGGGACGTGTTACGGGCTTGATGGGCTTCCCGAAGACTGGCACTTTGCCCCAGCTCTTTTTTGTGCCGTACCTTCCCTGTTTGGGAGTTTTTAGGGTGTGTTCTAAGATTTGTTCACGACCATGATGATGGAAAGCATTTCTAGCACCAAAATTCAGATCAGCCATGCAGTACCCCCTTAGCTTCACACACCCAGTGGCTTCAGTTGCGGCGGGTGCTTCTTAGACAACGCGGATTCCGAGGGTCGTGGCCGATTCCGAGGTTGCTGCATCCTATGTGATCCATGTGTTTCCGGGCCTGGCCACAAGAGCAACTGGAGAGGAGAACCCGACCTTCTATAGCATTTGCCCCGAACTAGCCTTGGGAGATCGTGGCTTGGGCTTTGGCAAGGTCTGCCCCCGAGATGGCCAGGCCAATTGCAGCATTGTAGACTCACTGGAGGAGGAGAAGCTTGGCAGCAATTCGCAAATGCCTGTCCATCGAAAGCTGGATCCCAAAGCATGGGTTGACATCCTTGCTGGTCCATTTAGTTAATTTTCGCAGGTCAACCAGGATCCCTGGGTTTGACCTAGGCTGCCCATAGCTAGATTCGCTAGCTCTTGATCGACTTTGCTCTTCTTCGGCTTATTCAACTGAAGAATTTGGCCTTTTTTGCGAGGCACAACGGGAAGGTGACTCACTTTGTCTTTTGGTGCTGGGCATACTCTCTCCTTGACTTTGTCAGCGCGATCGATGGCTGGCGTTTGCGACGGTCCCTTGATGCTACGCAGATCTTTCTTTGGGTGTGCTTCTTCTGCAACAACCAGAAGCTTGGCAAACCTTGTAAACCTCGTGTCTACCCCCAAGCAGTGACTTGTAGTCAGACTGGCTATAAGCCAAGACCCTTTCTTTTCAGACCCTGGTCGCTCCATCTCCTTCATGGACAGTTGGACTGGAACTATAGCAACTATAGTGAGATTTTCTCGCTTCTTGAGCTTCTTGCATTGGATTTCGCCGTGAGAAACTCTTTTGATCAACCTATGCATGACGCTGGAAATGGAGGGAGAGAGAGAGAGAGAGAACGAACCGGTCCACGACAGATTTCAATGGTTGTATGAACGGCGCGGAAGAGAACTGTCTGTAGGGTGACTGCGGGAAGGTTCAACACCCTTCAATGCCAAGCCCGGAGGAAACAGGGGGACACTGCTTAGTTCGACGGATGGCAAGTGGCTGGATGAGGTACCGAATCATTGCAGGGGGCACCACTGGAAGCGATGAATTGAAAGCTGTCTTTGAATCACATCTCGCTGCAGCTGGCAAAATGCCTCTCAGTTGGTACTTTGTTTTGTTTCTTTAGTACATCAATCGCCGTTTTCCAATACAAAGCTATACAGTGTGTTACAAAGGTCGTCGGGTATCGTGTTGTCTCCCAGAGGTCTCGGACGTGCCGAATCTCGGTGTCTCGCGGCCTCGGTGCACGATGCACGATGGATACACACTCTAACTCAACATGAAAGTGGAACACCAGCGAAAAACACCACCTGTTTAGTCACCTGTATATATTATATAACATGATATATATATATATACTATATACAAACACCGCCTGTTTGTAAAGGAACATGGTCTTCCAAGGGGGCCGTTTCTGAAACTTGCCAACATCAGTCACCACACCAGCCGGCAACAGACCACAGATGACCACAGACGAGCACGGTGTGCAGTGCACTGCAAAAACATCACCGCCCGCATCATAGCACCACATTCTCACAGCACAAGGCAGATCATATCACACAGAATCACACTCAGCAGGCATGCAAATGGCACATCAGCACCCCATACATCAGCTCGACATGTCGGTGCATGGCATATTTACTTTAAGGAAGACAATGCACCACACACCACACGCCACGTCACCATGCAATGACCAAAGCGCTGCAAGAAGCCTTGCTTTGTCAGAGGCTGCTGGGGCTCTTTCGACTTTTGCAAGGCCCATTGGTTGGTTGTCCCGCAGGAGGAGCGTGATCCCCCACAACCACTCCAGGTTAAGATTATATAATCAATTATAATCACAAAGGCTATTGCGTGTTGCTTGTTGAACAAGCAGGGATTGTGTGCACTTTCAAGTTTGTCTCAATTAACCTCCTTGGGTAAGCAGCAGATAGAGAAGTTCGCACTTTGGTGGAGCCAAGGCTTGTCCTGTTGGACAGCTTTACATCACCAAGATATATCCAGAGAGCCTGGTGCATTTTTGAGAGCTATGCTTCTCAATTAGCAAGTTGTAACACTTGTCGTAGTTTTGGCATTCTTTTATGTGTACATGCTTGAAGGTCATTCTCCCATTCATGGGTTGCTTCTAGGTACACGAACCTGGTGACAGAACTAAAATAAGTTCCCCGGGGTCAGTATCATCAGAGTCTGGTGAGAGATCTGAAACGATGACGCAGTGGTTTCACGTCGTCTCAGAGGTTTGCATTGAGCAGAATTTCTCGATGACGATCATCCTCTCCAAATCGGCAGAGGTGAGTTCGGGTTGGGCTGGGATGGCAGCCCGAGATCTCTGTTATTTTTACAGCCCCCCTTTACAAGATCCACTATCAAGTGGGTGGTGCATGTCTTATCCTATTGGCTATTAGTTTCCTTGGGTCAAAGCTTGCAGGGTTCTGAGATTCTTTGGGCTGCAGCTTGGGTGGCTTCAAGCTGTAAAAGAAAAACATGAAAAACCATCTGTTCATTTTCATGTGGCTTTCACTCGTTCTTTGATCATGAATTGTAAAGCCCGAAAGCTGGGAGGGCTTTGCTTGCAAGCACAATTCCGCGAGAAGATACAAGAACTTAGGAGACTTGTAGAACTTAGCTGAGTTGGATCTAGTTGCTACATTTCCAACTCGGTCTGCATTCACTCTTGAGGCATCCTTCAGGGATGCGCTGTGCACGGGGCCTCTGCAGCGTGTGACAGAGTCTCTGAGTGCTTTGGATGTACAACACGCCCAAGCGTCCTCAACTGCAGATGAGCTTTTAATTAAGAAGCTTATCAGGACCCTGTGCCCTGCTGGCAGCGCTTGTGTTGGATCGCACACTTTCGCCACTGGTTTGCGATGTGTCATTCAACCATACCAAGTCCATCCTAGAAACAACCGCACATTGGCACAAGCAACAACATGCTTCTTGGCCAGGAATTCCATTGGCTTTGGCGTTGTGAATGAGGTCGTGCGAGACCGATTGGTCGAGCGCTTAGTCGAAATTGTTTCGGACCAATTAAGGGGCAAGGGGAGCTAGCCAGAGTTGCTTCGCGTGGGATCAAGAAGTATCTCGCCAGTGCTACTCATGGGTGCCCCACCATGTTTTTCCGGAATGAACTCGTGTCCAACCGTGGCATGTTTCTTTTTGGCGTGCCAATTTTTTGGCAGACTCATTGGCTGGGCTACACGCCGCCGGTTTTGGCCCCAAAAGTGATGAGCCGCGATCCACGGGCCAGAATTCGCTCTCACATTTTTCATGGAGAATGTTGAGAGCCTACCCTGTTGCAAACATTTCAGCAGGCAATATGGATTTTGAGCGGTGTGAGGGCTGGCTGAACGGGCGCTTGCCTTCATTGTGCCAGAAATTCCCTCGTGTTGCCCCTTGAGGACCCTTGAAGGGCCCTCTTTGCGCGTACGGCACTACGATGAATTGTGATTTGACGGATGTGCGCTCAATGTTTCGCAGCCAGGTCTGAAACATTCTAAAATTCTAAAGTTTAAAGAATGGGAACTGGTCATGATGTCATCTCATTTTCGGTCACAAGCATGAATCCATGGGTGTAGAGTGAAGGCTGCAATGGCAGATGCGCGCTGGTGGCAAGACCTCATATGCTACAATTCCATACAATTCCTAGATGTCATTTAGCTGCATATTTTTCCCTGCCGTGACCACGCCCACAAGAGGCAGCAGCTTCGATGGCTACTGTAAAGGCAGTGAAGTGGAGAAACGCGACTCCTATGGCGTCTACTGGACAAAATTTCTCGGGTGGCTCGCTTTTGTGGGTGGCCAGCAGAGGCCGTTAAGCACTAATTACCTAGGATTGAAAGGTGCTCCAGGCGCAACTACCGGTCGCACCGCAACTGGGCCGATCTCAAGACCTGCCATCTTTCACTCCCACCGTCCCACCGATCCATCCGCCCCCCTCTCCGCCCCCTCTCCCCTCGCAGGCGCTCCCGCCGTTCGCCCAGGCGCGGCGCGACAAGCAAGTGCTCTTCTTCTCGGCCACCTGGCCTCCCTCGGTCGAGCGCTCGGCGCGCGCCCTGTGTCGCGCCGCGCCACGACGCGTGGCTCTGGAGCCTGAAGAGTTCGAAGACCGAGGAGGGGAACGGGGGGCGGCGGGCGCTTGTTGGAGGGGGCTAGGGATTGGGCATCCAATTGGGTGAGGCACCGATCTCAGAAGATGTTTGAGGATGAGAAGAGGGTGGGGAGGCCCCAAGCTTTTGGGAGGCCTTTGAGATCTTTTTGAGGTATTCGCATGTGTTCATGTGGTGTGGAACCCTGCACAAACACGCGCCAGAAGTTCCAAACGGATGGTTCTGAGTGGATGTTCTGGGCACCCCTACCATCCACAAACGCAGCCCTCTCGAAATCCTAGGCTGGTAGGTTGATCTCTAGTTGATTGTGAACAACTTGAACCTTCTGCGGGATGCGTGGCCTTTCTCGAGGCAGGGCACCAGGCGATTTGGTTCTCTTCGGGACCCCTAGTGAACCTTTGATGGTTAGATAGGCAGATCTTCCAAACCTCCAGTTTGTTTGCCTGAAGCCCTCCCACGTCCAAGACCCACACCGACCCGGTCGCCCCTTATCTTCAAAAGCACGGGGGTCACCGTGCTCTCGGCGGGCTCCGACGCAGAATCCGCTCCGCGCAGGAGATCAGAGCCGGGCCCTGCCGCCCAGCGCCATCCGGCAGATCGTCGAGGTGCCAGAGACGCTCGGTGACTCTGGGGGTGTGGGGACGCCCCGAAGAAAAGGCGGGAGACATGTGGCAAAAAAGGGGTTCGATGTGACAGGCTGCAACAGTGGAAGTGGGTTGGAACGGTTGGACTTTAAGAGCAGGCCGGTGACCAGACGAAGGAAGGAAGCGAAACCAAACGGGCTGGATGAGCTCTGGAAGCCGAATGGCGACAAACTGGGTTCCATGTTGTTCTGTACTTTTAAGTTTAACTCTAATTCTAATTCTGTACTAGCCTCTTGCTCCTAGTCAGGCCGCCAGGCCAGGAGCCCCGTTCGTAGCGTCTTTGCTCCGTTCATAGCGATGCCCTTTTGCTAGTAGCGTCCTTGCTCGGGTGTGCGTGGAGGCAGAGGTCTCTTCATTCTGCTGTGGAGGGCATTGAGCCGTTTTTTTTGCATCAAGCTCCAGGAAAGAACGTTGTGCTTTCAACTCTGACTGGGGATTCTACATTAACCAAACTTTTTTATATTTGTGGTAGTGAGTGTGTTGCCTTGTAATTTCTCTTGTGAGGAATGGTGAGCATGACAGCAAGCTGCCAATCCTTTTGCGCTACCTTGAGGACACACTGCGGGCAGTCGGTACCACCTGCTTGTGGTCGTTGTTTTTGAGTCCTAATCCATGCGATCCGGGTGGACCTTGTCCAGAAGGAAACGGTCGGAACACGCGGAACGTGCGGAGGCAGTTGGTACGTAGCGGTAAAGCTAACTGGCAAGTGTGCTTCTCTCCCCCCCAACGGAACCAAGCTGGCAGTGCCCCGCACTGGAACTGGAACTCGCCGGTCCCGGGAGGGACAAAAATAGCTGTGTGATCGATGCGTTGCATCGGACGCGTGTTGGAACCAGAAGTGGATCTGAAACTGGAACACACCCGTGTGGACGTGTGGGGCATGGACTGGACCCCCCCCGCGCTGGAAAAAATATAAACATGTACGTCAGGGACCTATTATTGAAGCGTACTGGAATCAGAACTGGATCAACAGGAAGATGAACTGGAACTGGACTGGATCCCCCCTCCAACCATCAGCTGTTTGGAACTGGAATTGGAGCTGTTCTAACCACCCGGGGCACTCGGAACCAAGACAAGCCAAGTGTAGAGCACCTTGTGATGGTCTCTATCCTTGTCAAAGGCGCCGGTGACAAAGACCAAGGATGAATGCAGTGAACCTGCAGAAAGGATGTGAAACGTGGTGTTGACCATTTACGGGCCAAACATGACGTCATGTTTGCGCCCGTCCCATGCCGACCAATTCTGCCCCATCAGGACTCAAAGCTCGCGATGCCTGGCGGATTGCAGGTAGGGGTTGCCATGATGGGAGTGACTTTGGAGTTTGGTATGTCCACATTTGTCTGGGAAAGGTCAGCTTTTCGTAGCTACATGGACTTCCTGCTTTGCCATGGGTCAACGCTGCGTAGCTACAGGGTACCACGACTCGGAGTCGACCGTTGGGTGACCAGCAGATTGTTCCGAGAGAGGACGAAACAAGGAGAGAGGACGATGAATTGGGTATCGCTCATTCGCCGTCTGGTCCAAGGACTCCCATGCAGCAGGGTGGAGGCAAGGTGCTGATCTTCGTGCGGACCATCACCGCAGCGGAGGATTTGGCCACACTGCTGCAACAGAAGTTTGGTTCCAAGTGTGATGCCATGCATGGGAAGCGTAAGCAGGAGCAGCGGGACCCTTGGCGAGGTCGGAAGTGGGAGCGGAAGAGGCTTGGTTGTTGTGGCTGTTGGCACGGAACTCTCCTTCTCCAGAGGTCGGAAGTGGGAGCGATCCGGAATTCACGATCATTGACCAATCCTCCGACCAACCTGGACCCCCACGAAGCATTGCGAAACCATCATGTGATGTGACAGTTGTGAGTTGTGACAGTTGTGATCGGTTCCTCGGAATTCTGATGTGTCCTTCCCAACTTCACCAAGAGTCGGCCCTCGCCCCTCGCGCCCCTCGCCGTCACGGTGCCACTGTTCAGCCTCGGACCCGGCACCCCCAAGGAGCAGTCCCTCAATCAGTTCCGCATGGGCCACACCCGGGCCCTGATCGCCACTGACGTCTTGGGCCGTGGCGTGGACATCCCGGAGACTCGCCGACGTCTCGGGCGCGCGGGAGCATGGTCGCGCGGCGCCCAAAAGCTTCGGCTAGCGGCTAGCACTTGGCTTGCACCATGCGCTTGGAGTGTGAGAAAGGGTTTCAACACATCTCAACACACTCCCCGGAACCATCATGAATACGCACGGAATCGTCACACCCCGCATCGAGCGTTGCTCTAGGTCGCTGCTGTCGCTGAGACTTCGGTCCAAAGGGTCTCCGGATTCGGATTCGAAGAGACAGAAGGTCCCCCGATGATGTGTGCAGAGCCCCAAGCATTTCCCGTTCTTTCTTCAGGAGTTGGCTCGAACCAACAGCCTTGCTTCATTCGAAACATTTCGAAACAACGAACGAGGATCTCGAGGATTGTTTCCCGTGGGGTCAGGTCCTTCGAACCGGGGTCCGATGTGGTCCGGTCCTCGGCCAGCCTCCAGGACGTGACCATGGTCTTCATCTACGACTTCCCCGACGACTCCCGGTGCTGAAGTGTTTCGTTTGGGGTCGGTTTTCCTTTGGGAAGGTCGGATCTCGAAAGATCTTGAAAGCGATCCGATCATCAAGATCTCGAGTGTCATCGATCTTTTCATATCTTTTCTATATTATCAATGTCTCGATGTCATCGAATGTGATCTTTTGGACAGAAAACGCTCCCTGTCAGCGACCCAAAACTTGCCTTTTCTATAGGGAGGATTCTGGACGTATCATTCTTCTGACTCCCCGCATCGGGGGACCGTGGGCCCGTGCGGCGACGGACAGAGCGAGCGAGACAACGGACCGGGTTCGGCGGCCGCAGCCGGGTTCCCGAAAGGCCTATGCCTATAGCTAATCCATGCTAATCCTAGCTATCTAGTTAGTGGATGTTAGTGGTATAACTCGGTAGAACATGGTATAACCTTGAACCAGTCCTTGAACCTTTTTGAGGGATTGGGCCATGCCCCACTCAGATGTCAACAGGTGAACAGTTCGGTCAGCCTTCTTTTCCCAAGCACCTGGCTCGGGAGGTCAGCCTTAGACGTTTGGAGCTGGAGGGGAGAGGCTCCGACTCGGCCGACCGCGGTGCTCTCGGCCGACGCGCGTCGGTGCACCGAGGACATTGAGACCTACATCCACCGAGTTGGACGGACGGGGCGTAATGGCCGCCAGGGCAAGGCAGTCTCCCTCTTCCATCGGCAGCCGCTGGGGCGTGGTACGGCGAGGGCCGGCGAGGGCGGTGGAACGTGGGACGGGTGGTGCGACGGTGTTGGTGTTGGGAGGACTTGGCCAATGGAAGTGCAAGGGTGGCTGTACAAGTGCAGGCTTTTGGTGGCCATTTTGAGCACTTGGCAGATCTTTGGAAGGCCTCACAGGAAACCATAAAACATGATATAAAAAAGATCAAAGAAGGTTTCTGTATGACCAGGGAGATGTGTTTGTAGAATTCTATGGAATTCATCCCCCAACCATTTGGGTTGGAATCGTTGCTTGGTGGACCAACGCCAGGTCCACTGGGCCGAATTCATAAGCCCCTCAAAGGGAGGGACACCCTCCGGGGCTGCAGATCCAATCCGGACTGCGACCGCCGTAGACGGCCCACCGTACGAGGCCCACCGAGTTGTGACAGAGGTACGATGATGGTTGCAGACCTCAAACTGAGTGACTGGGTCATACCATGTCATACCGGTCATACCCCAAACCAGTTAAGAGCCCAAGAAGTGCCAGCAGTAGGCTCAGTATGCAGGCTTTGCCAAGCTTGGGTTTGGGGGGTTCCCCATTTCTACAGTGGTCCCCCTTTGCCAGATGGGGCTCGGAATCGTTGGATGCGGCTCCATTGACGGGTGAGGTATTGGAATGCCTACTTGGCAAAAGAATTGCAGGAGAGCTGGGCACTCTCCACTCCATGGTGTAGCGCATGTCTTCAGGGCACCATCCAGATGAGTGTGTTGTGTTGTGTTTTCTTTTATTTCTTTTATTTATTTTATTAATTAACACACACACACATATATATATATATCAATATATATCAATATATATATTTCTATTTTATTACTATTATTAAGTTATTACATGTTATTACTCTATTTTTTCACGAAAGGTAGCGGTTACGCTACCTGAGTTTTCCTTTTGCTTTAGCAAAAATGTATTAACCCAGAGCTGCAGCCTATCTCTCGGAGAAATGGTCCCCGACATCTTCGTTGGCGGGCGGGGGGGGGGGCCCCCCCCCCTCCCCCCTTTCAACTCCACCCTAGCGCGCCTCGGGGTCAACCGTTCGAAAACACTGTAAATATCAGTGTTTTCAGCTCTTCCAGTCCTCAGCAGTGACCAAAAATCATGGAATTTACAGCGTTTTTTGTGGCTGTCCGGCAAAAAACACCGCAAAAAGCGATGGTTTTTGATGCGTCTCGGTTAGAAAAATGACCGAAAAAAGACCAAAAACCAGGAAAGATTTTGTCAGAAAGGGTTTTTGAGGCTTTTGGAGGCTTCAAAATTGCACAAAACTATGGTATTTACAGGGTTTTGTGCACCTTCCCGGCAGAAAACGCCGGTATTTACACGGTTTTCTGCGCTTTTCCAGCGCTCAACCGTGGTGCGCCTTTGGATCGACGGCTACAAAATACCGTAAATACCAGTGTTTTCAGCTCCTCCTGTCTTCAAGCGTGGCCTTAGACCTTGCCGCGGCTGTGGATCGACGGCAACGAAACCTCGTAAATACCAGTGTTTTTGAGCACGTCCTGTTTGCAAGCATGGCCTGCGGCCACGCAATTTACAGGGTCGCCGCACGTCACTATGTAAATCCGAATTTGCATTTGAGAAATATGTGACTCCTTTGAAGGCACGTCAACCTGTATTGAAACCGCTAGATCGCTACAGCTTCTGGAGGTTTTGTCAAGCGTTTGTGCATTAGTTTTTCTTTCATCACGCTCACTCACTTCTCTTCAAACAAGTGGGGGGCCTCTCACCTCCTCCCGGATTACGCCTGATTCCCTGCTACCTTTCGTTCACCCCCCTCCTCTCTCAAGTTTTTCGATGGCCATGTTGGCACGCTCGTCGCACCCTTTGATGGAACTTTGCAGCTTCAGGGGTGGCAGGAACTGGGGTGCCTGCGAAGTGATAGAGCCAGCTCACCCGGCCAGGGCGTCAAAGTTGGGAAGGCGTCATCCATACCCCGTCTTCAGGCTCTTCCCCTCAACCAGTGGTTGGAATTGGGACATATTTGGACATGGTTCCTATTGAAGTTCCGTTGACGTTGTGGCAATGTTTCTTTCTCTCCGATGCTCTGGGGAAGAAGCTGTGTCATATAATCGAAAAGGCTGTTCGACGATGCTACATACCCAGGTATGTACGTCCTTAAGAGAACTATTTCTACGCCAGAGCCAGTAGATCAACGACAAAACAATTTTCCCCATCACTTCTGACAGTTGGAACATGTCTTTTTTCCCTATGGGTATGGAAGTTATTATGGAAGTGGAAAAACAAACTGAACTGGCACCTGGCAGCGGCATGCTTGTTGGAACTTCTGGTATTCACCCCGAACCTCCCACGACAAAGAGTTCCGTGCAGCCATGGAAACCACGGGCCAGGACGTCCTTCAGCGATGTGAGCAGGAGGTGCCTGTGGCATTAGAAGAAGCCGCCAGCGCCGAGAGCAGTTGGCAGGATTGGAACTCCTCGCGGCAATGGTGGCGTTAAAGCGCTGGCCTCACACGGCGTGCACCGCGAGGTGTGGGCAGATGGGGCGGGGGAGTTTGGCGTGGATGGTCCATGTATTTTCCTGGTTGGAACCAACGCGTAGGATGTTTCAATCAGGTGTTTGAAAAAACCACCTGACGCTCAATGGCAAACACCTGGTGTTTCTCATGTTTGGAAACGCCGGTGTTTGCATCTGGATGAACTCTTGAGTTTCTGACGCTCAGCATGCGAAACACGGCGGTTTCTTTCCGTCGCCGGGACCGGTTTCTGGAAGGAAGGATTGGCCCCCCCAGCGATGGAGCTCCGGGGCGCTCCGACAAGAGCCTGCAGCGGGAGCGCCGGAGTCCATGCAGTTCCTTTGTGTTGTGTTGTGGCGACAGAAGGAACAGTTCCACTGAGAGTCGCCACCATCTTGGTTCGCTTAGAAGGCCGGGAGCACCGAGCGTCACCGAGCCACCGGAAAGGGCCCGATCTGCCGAACTGCCAGGTGCAGCGACTGATGAAGAACACATGGCTGCGAGCCTGAGAAAGAGACGCGCCGGCGGCGATCGCCTCGTTGTTTGGACACCTCCATGTTTTGTTTTCTAGGGATGGCTGAGAAACAGTCCACACGTCTCCCAAAACCTGTCGATAAAACACATCCCAACGGCCGTGGTGCCAGGCACTTCGCCCGCAGATGTTTGGGGGGCCGCCTATGCCGCAGCCGGCTATGGCGGCTACGCGGCTCAAGCGGCCTATGTGGCACAAGCGGCACAAGCCGCACAAGCGGCGCAAGCCGCACAAGCGGCGCAAGCGTATGTGGCACAGGCGCAGGCAAGGTGGTGATTGTGTGCGTCAACAACGCAGTCAACACGGACAATCACTACTGGCCGAGTTGGTGTCCGATTTCACCCCTACGAGGGGTTTCAAGAAGATGACACATGACCACGACTGTTTGGAGATTAACACAGCCCACCTCTTGGGTTTGGTAAAGGTGGCTGTGTTGGTGCTTGGGCCATGGGCGGCCATGGTGATTTGTGCTCGTCCATTTGATCAATTGTCATCGTTTACCGGCTAGACCTTTCTGACCAACCAGTGGTTTAGATCTTCGGCTGTGAGGAACCTGCTATCATTGGCACGATTCATAAAGCAATATTAAGTATCAACTTCTACAAATCCAAAGCTTTTGTCTTGGATTAGTTGGGTGTTTGCGAGGGCAACAACGCATGAGATGTCCACCACGTATTCCACCTTCAAACAAGGATCTGGTCCATCAAAAGTACTCAAGTGATCCCTGCCATGATTCGTGGTATTCCTGGAGTATGGATGAGTCTGGAGTGCCTGCTAAGCTGTCAGGTCGGATTCTCAGTCAAACGCCCAAAGCCGCCAGGTGGCTCAGCAGGTGCAGGCGGCTCAGCAGGTGCAGGCAGCACAAGCAGCGCAGGCAGCACAGGCTTCAGCCCACGCGGGCGCTCCGTTGTGGGGAGCTCAGACCGTGGAGATCAACGATCAATTGGTTGGGAGTCCGGAGTCCGTCCGGTCACTCCTGAAAGTCCGGTCGATGAGCAAAGCGAACCGTCCGGTCGATGAGCAAAGCGACTTGTTTTCTTTTTGGTCCGATGTTCCAATGAACCCCGATGTTCCAATGAACCCCGATGTTCCAATCCCAGTAACCGTGGGCAAGACTTAAACGCTATCGGATCGATATACAGTGATCACAGTCATAGCAGGATCTATATCAGTGATAGTATGTGATAGTGTTAGACTGTGTGTTAGATGAAGACTATCACTATCAGATCAATATGACATAAGTCTTAGACAGTGTCTTAGACTTCTTCACTTCATTTCCAGCTGGGCCACGTCTCCAGCTGGGCCACGTCTCCAGCTGCCCCCCCCCTGAAACGAGCGGCTGGAGAAGTACAACCTGAAGTAGGGAGAGTTCAAAAGACCGCACTGGAAGAAGAAGCCTTGACCCAAAAACATCCCGCCAAAAACACGACAAACCATTGACCCAACCACCTACAAGTAGTGGGCCGGCCAGGGGGGGTTCTCTATAACCACTATACATCGATACCTAAGCCCATTTGACTTTTGTTTTGATCAGAAAAGACCACGTTTTGGCTCCTAAACAGGGGTCAATCAGGTTCTATAGGTAATTGCAATTCAAACACACCCAGGGCACATCTTTTAGGATGCGTCACTCCCCCCACACCCTTGTCACCCCCCACGAAGGCGCCTTCCAGCCGCCTCCTGGCGGGTGCCGGCGGCTCGCTCCGAGACCGAGACAAAGACGCAGGGGAGCCGAGGATGATGGAGAAGCAGAGCAGAAGGTTGAGGTGATGGGCTCTCCCCCAACCAGGTCAAATCAATAAAAGAAATACATTTTAATGTGAATTCAATGATGGAACAAACTTCTGAGAAGGAGTTCATGTTGGCAAAATAGTTATGTCATCTCATGTGCGATGGCCGGCGTTTCGGCGGTTGCCTTCAAGGTTGCCACCAAATGCTTGTCTACTTGGCGCGCATATCCTCACGTTAGAAGTGGCGGTGATTTTTTTTTGCCTTCAGAAGTTGCACCTTCTTGGCTTCAGTGTGCAAGATGTGCAAGTGTGTAGGAAAGAACCGGAAAGAACGCTTTTTGACGGAGCCAGTGTGTTGAACGTTTTGAAGGTTTTTGCTCGGTTGTGCCAAAAACACACGGCTGAACATGGAGCTGTGGACTTCCAAAGATGCCCAAACCCTTCTACAGATGGACACATGGCGATGTCAAGCGGCTAACAGCCAAGCAAAAGCGAACACAGACAGAGCAACAACAGAGCAGCGGGCAACAACTGGTGCCTTGCATGGAGTGCTTTTGATCGGAGAAGCATCAGCTCAAAGAAGTCACCCGGGGAAATTGGGGGGGTTTGGACACCCGATCTTTGGCACCTTGAGGCCACTGAGACCACTGAGACCACTCTGGGAGCCATGGAGGACAGCTTTCCTTGTGCAGCGCCAGGCTGCGAAAGCACCGGCAGCAAGCTGCCACTGGGCATCACCATGGATTGCTTCGAGGGCTCGGAGGGTTTGGTGGCGGTCCTCCGCCGTTCCTCTGCCGTTTCTCCTGCGTGGAGATGAAGCCCCGAAAGTCTTCCAAAACTCAGTGAAGAGTGACATACGCACCTGGATCTTCTAACTGTGAACGGCATTTTTGCATTTGCATCCATGAGCAACACCCCAAAGGCAGAAATTTCACATAGTTGGAAGATCCAGGTATTTCGCACGCAACTATGATTTTCATGGCAGTCATGTCGTGCCAGTCTTTCCTGCAGAAACATCCGGACAACCATCGGATTCCAACAATCGACCTGGCCCAACAACGAGGTGCAGCCGCTGTGGCAAAGCAGCATATTGCTCCGCCGAATGCCAGCGCAAGGATTGGAAGGCTTGGAGACCTGCAGATTTAACATGATTTACCTTCAGACTTAGATCCTTTTCTGTTCTATAGTATCACGATTAGGCCGGCACTTGCATCCTTTTCAGGACTCGATTTTGGCACAGCCTTCCCTGGCCTTCCGTATTCCAAGTCCAAGTGAGCATAAACGTTCAAGTCCAAGGGATTCGTCAGTTTTTTCCGTCGTCCTTCGTATGTTCGCCGTGAAGTGGTTGAACGGGATGCGAGGGATTGGTGGAAGAAAGAGCTGTGCCTCATGGCCTCCCTATGAAAACCACGTCTTCATCAGGCCAAGAATGGAGTCGAAGAGAGCTGTCCGATCTCCAAGATTTTCCAGGAGATGTCACAGGAACGATAGGAACGCGCGTGGTCAAGCAGTTTTCCATGTTATAAAATATATCCCAAGCTTAGAGGTCTTCAGCCACAGCAAAGACTTCGGAGCAGATCGGAGCAGGTTCCCGCAGCAGGTTCCGGAGCAAGTTCCCGGAGGAGGTTTCGCAGCAAGTTGGGGGCAGGTGCCGGAGCGGGTTCCGGAGGAGGTTGCAGAGGAGGTTCCGGGTATTCGGGCGAGGTTTGGTGAAAGTTCCGGAAACGTCTGCAGATGCGCTGTGTCTCTCGGACGGAGATGGTGCCAATGCGCTGACGTGATTTGTGTTGTCAGGCTGACATGCTTGTGTGGTGTCACGTTGGCATGTTGTCATTCTGGCGTGGCATAGGTCACATGGTCACGATGTCGAAGTTGGGCCATGCTGTCGTGCTGACTCGCTGGACCCCAGAGTAGGCTCTGTTTTCGCAGGTTTTCGCTGTTTTTTTTGTTTTTGGATGTTTTTGGTAGTGTTGTCGTGCGCAGGTTTTTCGCATCGTTGCTAAAGGTTCGTGCTTTTGAAGGCAGCAGTGTTTGACAAGTCGACATGACACGACAGTGGCGGTGTTTGATGCGACAAGACTACCATCAGTAGACTTAATTAGGCCATGGCCCATGCTAGTGGCCATGCTCGATGGATTTTCCCATTACAGCCTGTTGGGGCTTCCTGAACACCGACCGCCACCAGGTGCACAAGTTGCAGTGCCAGAAAGCTGAGACGCCGGAGAACCGCGCCTCGCTTGGGAGAACGTCGGCCGCCGTGATGGGCCCCTCTAGCGGCCGATAGATGCCGATAGAGTCCGATAGAGCTGACAGCTTGGGAGGCTTAGTGGATATTTTTGGATCATGTAGACTCTTGATTCTATTTCACCCCCATATGAAGAGGATGTCCACTTCAATTGGGAGGGTTTACTAATCAAGAGTCTACATTAGGTAGGGGACCCCACTGCAAGAATGGCAATTTTCCTTCTGTGGGGCAGACTGTGCAAAGGGGATTGGTATGATTATGATGATTCAGAGACAGATGCACCAACGCATTTGCAACAACAAACAATTTTCTACAGCAATTTGGACCACAAACCAGGACGAAGACATGACATGCAGAAAAGGCGCATATGATGCATCTACGCATGTATAGGCAGGTTCTCTTCCCAAATCACTCAATCACTCCATCACACCAAAATTCACAGTGGAACTCCGCAGGGGTTTCCACTTATACCCGCTGAATCTACAGGGTCTTGGGCTATAGGATTTCATTGTGGTGTAAGGCAGAACCACCTCGGCCGCATTCGTTTGGAAAGAACATGGATGGAAAGGGTGTCTTGAGGAAGCCACGCCCACGGGGTTTCCCAGAACAGATGAGACAAGCCGGCAATCGTCAACGACCAGAGAGAGAGAGAGAGATATATATATAACTATATATCTATACATATACACATATAACTTGAGGGACCAAGTGCACCCCTTCAGTACACACCGAGCATACAGAATACAACTAATGCAGGGGGACCGCACACCTACAATACCACTTATGTTGATGTTTATAGTGCCTACAGTAGGAGTGTGGCTTGGGCGTCCCATGTCCCCCATGCGTCGGTAGTTTTTGGTAGCTTACCAACCCTCGTCCACTATTTCCTTGCTGGGGCTTCTATAGTTTTTACTCACCCTCAAGAGGGGCAAAGAAAACGGTCTTTGCATGTATTATCCTTTGAACAAGATTGAACAAGTTAGATGTGATGTTGCACTGGAGGAACATGACGGCGGGGGCCACGTGGCGACCCCGGAGTTGGACGATTCTAAAGCCTAGGGTGGTTCCCCGCGCCGGAGGGGAGATCGCATCACATCATGCTCCCTAAACCCTAAAACCTATGTTCTCACCGTATTGAGTTGAATCTGCTGACCTTCCTGGCCTCCTTGGATTTCGTCTCAGCGGCACCCGGCTGCGAGAGGTATCAGTGACCACTTGGCGAAGGGCCAGCTGTTTTCCGCGCAAGAAGCGCTGCAACAGCTGGAGAAGCTGGGACTGGAGAAGCTGGAGAAGCTACACACATTGACACGTTCTTAACAGGTTCGACTTGGCAATCCTTTGGGTGAGTCCCGACTCTTGATGGATTGATGGTTTAGCATCCAGCTAAACCAAAAGTGCTAGAATTGTTACACCGTCTTCCAAAATGTACATATTTGAAAAATACATACTCCAAAAAATCAATTATAGCTTATTTAAAATACAAGTTACATTTTTACTAAGTACATGCTCAACTCGAATTTCTCCGGGTTGATTATCTAGTATTCATCATCAGCAAGCATGGCTGCCCCATCAACCAGTTCCGAACAACTCCAGGATACTCCAGGCACGGCTCGGTAGAGTCTCCATATGGGCCCAATGGCTATAACTATAACATGTAATAGATCATTGACATGCCCAATGCATGCTCAAGTAACACCATTACATGCTCCTGATATCGGGTTTTTCCGCTCAGAGTCCGGGTTTTTCCGCGTCTAGTGCGGGTCCCTATTTTCTCCGGGTCTCATAAGTTATTTCTCCGGGTCAATATATGCTCAAGAACACATATACATTGGCAAGCTATTTTCCAATTATTGCATATGATATCAAGTGATCAATTGGTTTATATGCACAATGGGAAGGTCTTCTTCCACCGAGGCGGCACCATAAGGGATATCGCGTTCACCACTATTACATGTATTACATGCTATTACTCAATACATGTTTTTTACATAATACATACCCAATATAAAAATTGTTACACCAAAGTCAACAATGCACATTTTTTCAAATGTACAATTTCTGGTTGACACGGTTAAGCTGGATGGTTTAGCGACGTGCTGTACGCGTTTGGAGAAATTCTCGTTCAGATTGCCTACTCCTCTGAAAGCTGGACCCTACTAACTTCTTTTGGATATATATATATTTGCATGTCTATGTTAGCAGGCTGGGGTGGTAACTTGGAGGGTAACCAGAGTTGAGTTGTTGGAGTTGACTTGTTGGTGGAGTTTGCTCATTTTTGATACGTAATTACAGTTTTAGGGGAGCTTAGGAGGCCTAAATAAATGGAAAGGCTTTCCGGCACTGCACACAAGAGCAGATGCAATTTCAGTCACGTCCCACAAGGATACAAGAACACTGGTGCATTTAATGGCATGTTCTTTTTTAAATGATTTGTATGCACCAATTTTTTCTTGAAGGGTCGGTTGGATGTCACATACTGACACCCTCTTTGGTAGGTCGGAAACGGATGCTAGCTATCACTCTATCCCTTTGGAGCCCAGATCGGAAGCGAGCGGAAGCAGCATCGACGTTGCTACAGAGGGTGCCACTGTAGAGCTGGATCCCCCAATTCGTCGTAACTACCATAGATATAACCACACACATACACATATTAATCATTATATGGATCTCTCTTTCTCCCTCTCTGTCTCTGTAAATGTAGATAAGCATGTCGATATTATTGTTAGGAGATTCTGTCACTGGCGTGAAATTGCAGGTTTGAACTCAGCTTGACCAAAGCACAGCTCTTCTTTGACACAAGTCACCCAGACCACCGGTTCCTGCTTCCAGCGAACCGTCCGCCGTCCGCCGACCGAGAGCTCGCCATCATCTGCTGCGGTGTGGAACATGAGGAAACCCAACGCGCGCCTGGCGGCCGAGCTGGAAGAGAAGCTCAAGTTGGGCATCCTTTCCGAGGCGCGCCGGCTGGGATCTGCCGGCGGGGACCCGCCGGCTGACAGCGCCGGAAGCAGGGTGGGTGTTCGACAGCGGCGGTATCACTTGAAAGAGCGGTGTCGCTGGTATTCACCGGTGCTCTCACAACAGGAGATTGGACCATCTTCCGTCTGGCACCGAGACCTCGACTGCCGATCGATATCTTGGATCGCTCACGTCGTCGGGTTGGAACGGTCCAAGTCAAGCGCCCGGCATGGTGAGTTTCGGGCAGAGAAAAGACCGAGTGTTTTGCCAATCGAAGTGTTGCAGCCCAAGTTTTACAGGACCAGGTTGCAGGTCCTTCAACACATGCACGAAATGCATGTTCATGAATATGGTCATTTTAGATCATTTTAGGAGGGGTGGCCAGTGTGCCATTACAACTATCTTGGAAGCGAAGTCTACATTTCTTGTACCATAAATGGCAATTCTTTTGTGCCAGCCAGGGCCGCGCTAGGTGAAATCCAGGCTGGAAAGCCCTGCATTTTCGAGTCTACACCGCGGCAATCGCCGGTGTTCACCCAGCATTGTGTGCCAAGTGCCCTTGGTGTTCAAACGGTTTCACCTCATCCCCCCCCGCCATTGGGGCGTTCTTTTCACCCCCCCCCCTTACGTGGCCCAGGTGATTGCCGATCGCCTGAGCCTTCAGCCAGCCCGATACGGGCTCGGATATGTGGCGGCCAAGGTGCGCATCGGTGCGAAGACTGGTGAGGAAGGAAGCCCTGATCTGTCTCTCCTGACTTAGGCGTAGCCACAAACGTTTGGGAGGTGAATCGTTCGATTGATGGTAGTGACGTGAGGATGACGAAGGGATGCGGACGATGACTATGTGAGAGTGGAACCCATCCTTGCAAGCATCAACAGTCGCTTTCCTACTGGCACACTTGAGAAGGTTGCTCCGTGGAGCGTGATTTCAGGCTGCTTCG